ATGTGGGATACACATCCTAATATTCCTCTTCACTTTTATACTCTTTCAATGTGGAACAACACTTTCACTCATATGTGGGTTTTCTCATAAGCTCAACATAACTATTCGTGATCAAATATGGACAATATATTCATAAGGGATTTATGTTAACCAAACAATTACTTGTATGCGTTGTATCTACTAACACATGCCAAATAGGTCCAAAAAGAATATTTACCTTGATACAGACCAAATTTCAATATGGAATTGATTTCTAGCTATATATCATCATAATTAACCTAAAGAACAATTATTGCAAGTCCATTGATTTCGAAATAAGTAGGAGTCTAGCACTGTAACTTTTAAGCGTGTACGTGAGAAAAAAAAAAAAAAAAAAAAAAAAGCCATTAAGCAAGCATGACCTCTTTCGGTGGAAACAAGCGTGAACCATGTTATCACTCTTGTTTGTATTTAATTAATTATAACTTATTTAGCGGAAAAAAGAATTATTCTTGCTTAACTTAGGCACAATTTTGTTTACCTCAATCTCATTCGTTAAATTAATTAATAATAGAATTATTTAGATTTAATTTACAGCTACAATAAGTTCACATTAGTCAAATTTATAATCATTTTAGATAAATAAAAATCAAATAAATTAAACGCCGCCTAAGTTAAATTAATGCCCATGAATATTCATGAGCTTTAGCTCTTTTTCTTCCTTCATTTTTCATTATCTCCTTTTGTTATCTTTTCATTTTGAGCATATCATGTGGTCTCTCTGTTGCATTAGCTGCATACACAAGTATTTGGACATGTGGAAATAGGAATCTAAATACTTTGCGGAAAGCCAAAGACTTTTATCAACTTATCATATCATGTTTTTAGTGGTTTACCTTTTATTTCCTGCCTTTTAATTCGAAACTACTCATATTCTTTTTGACCTAGTTTTTCATTTATGCTAATCAAATACTCTTCTTTAATCTCTTTTCGTATTTTATACGTAAGGATGGATATAATCGAGTAGTGAACTAGTGATCAATTGTTAGAATCGTCTTCATAAATATTATTATATATAATATTTAAAATGATAAACTCTCTCCGTTTTAAAATACTTGTTCCATTTTTCATTTTCGACTGTTTTTAAATACTTGCTTCATTTCCCTATTTGTAAAGTTTTTACAATATTAATTTTTTTCTTAATTAGTGGGACCCAATAGAATTTATTTTATTACCTTTAGATTATCTCTCCTTCAATTTACCTTCCACCAATCCCACTACCTCCTTATTTTATTACTTTTTTCAATTTCTCATAAAACTGCGCACATAAAAAAATTGTGCAACTATTTAAAAACGGAGAGAGTATCATGCTAAAAAAAATAAAAAAAAATACGTATTATTATATTGTATTCACTCGTATTACATATTGACATATTGTATGACTAAATATAATTGTAAAATTTAACGGTACATGTAAGAAAAGCATCCTATGATACATCGTAGAATCCTGCAAAAGCATGGTAAAGACCAGTAGTAACGTTGCACATGACAAATGGGATTTTGTGTTGACAGAGGCATTGATGCTATAAAAAGAGTACACAAGATTTTTAGAAATAAGGATTTTAATAGACGAGTGTTCCTTTTTCCCAAGTAATCATATTATAAAAGGTTCTGTATCTCCTTAATCACCTTTGGAATGTCCAATTTTTACCTTAATTTGCTTTATTTAATCACTATTATACGATTTGTATTTTTGTCTTCATGTGTCAAAAGTTAAGTGGATGTTGCATACAGAGTATATACCTGCTTTTGGGAATACATGCAACTATACACATGAATGCTTTGAATTACAATCAGATTACAATGTTATTTTAATCTATGTTTAGTCATAATACTAGGTTTTTCTTTTTAATTGTTCTTTTTCTACACCCCCGGCACGTCCAAATTTACTGTAAAAAAAGCATAAAATAAATTAGCATGTAATTTTATTCACCATTGGTAAAAATTTATTTAAGATCTCAAAAAATTGGAACCTTATTCAAATATGCCCGCATCATACTCTTAGGCACCTTAGCTGTTGTTAAGAGTCTTAAGACGTCAAGGACGGATTAAAAAAGTACATGTTCTCTCATGTGCTTATTGATCTCCAAAGTAAAGACATACTAGCCATCTTTGTATTTGACCGAGTTGGAGATAAGGTGATGAAATTTAATTTGATAGTGCAATACGTCCTTACATTTCAGGGGCAAACCTAATTAGGTACTTAGTATTGAACATTTAGTTATCATAAACTAAATTTTTGCTCAAAATACCCATATTTTACACTTATAGTCTTATTACCTTTTACATGGCTTTTAATATAATATTTAAACGTTAATTTTTTCAAGTATACGTAATATAAAGATTATAAAATGTTAATATTGTAATGTCACGATAAATAGTACATATTTTCTTTATACGTTACATTAACTAAGAGTATTAGATCCATTATCATTAAAATGTATAAAGATTAGATCGAAATAAAACAATCAATATATGAGAATGGAAGGAGTATAAATATTAGCGAATCGAGTGAATGGTGCACTTGAACTCTTGGATATGTGATGGGTCATGGGACATATAGGTATGGTATTTGAAGGTGATAATTTGCTAGTCATCAACGCTATAAAAGGCATTTGGACAGCTCCTTGGCGGATCGAGCATGTTATCAAAGACGTCATTCATTCTCTTCTCACTCGGTTTCGAAGCTGGAGTATCCAACATATTTATCGAGAGGCAAATCACGCAGCGGATTGGATTGCTAATGCGGGTCATTTAGTTTCTGATAGTATGGATATTGATGTTTGTAATAATTCTAGTTTATATTCTATTCTTTCGACTGACACATTAGGAATATCCCTCGTGAGGAAGGCTTCCTAATGATTTTTTATCTTACCATTTTTAAAAAAAATACAAAAGGAAACAGGTAACGAGAGCTTGTTATATACACTCGGGTGTATCGTACACTCATGAGAATTTTGTTCTCATTTTGATGATTGTTTTTTATTTAATCATCAAATGAAAAGTAAACACTAACCTTGAGTTAGTTGGGTGTACGGTACACCCGGGTGTATATAACAAATTCTACAGGGTAACGATAGGTATGCAATTTGAGCGTAATTAAACACCGATCTCCAAAATACTTTCAAATAACACGGACAAAGTTGACAGGTTTACAATCATAAAATCAACTGTGGGCCCTATGGCCCACACGAAAGTACCAAAATCTGGGCCGATATGGACTTGATTTGAACCATTGCATCTTGTATATACGGAGTCTAACAAAACAACAGCCCTTCAATAGTTTAATGCTTGAGCTTTAATATGGGCAAAATTTAATGTCAAGAAACAAAAATATGTCAAAAGGTATATAAATATAGAAGATAATGCCATACTTAGATTTGAAATTTGTTTTCATTCACCTATATTTCCGTTTAGAGTTTGATTGTAAGGAGATGAGAAAAGTAGCTAATGATAATGACAATCAAGAATCAATATAATATCTACAATCTTCCTCACCTCAATGTTAATTATTGCTAATTATTTACTATTTCCTTCCTTAATTTCAAAATGATTTTGCATATTTGATCGTAAAGATAACATTCTGTATACTCCCTCAATCTCATTTTACTGACTATAATATTTGATAAAATATTATTACATTTTAATCAATTTAATAGGACAAGTAAAACGAGATAGAGACATTATTTTACTCCGTATCATTCATATTTTCATTCGATATTGCACATGTTATCTTTTTGATGTTCAAACTTAGCATATTATTAGTTGCCAAAAAATAATAATAAAAAAAAAAAACATTATTGCAATTCAACCATGATGAAATAAGACAAGGATGAGAGGAAAAAGAAAGGATAAGGGTAGAGGAGAAATGAAAGCCAGGGAAGAGGCAGTGCAAAGGTAGAGCCAAAAACATAAATGCTCAACCTGTTAAGTAGCTCTATCTTTGCGCAACCTCTTTCCCGTCTTTCATTTGATATATCTCCTCTGTAGTCCCTGTTTCCTCTCTACATGTCTTACCTTATATTCATACTCTCGATGCATCAAATGAAATTACAAAAATACCCAACAATAAACCAACTACTCCGTATAAATATACTACGTATAGAATAATAAGATTTGTGAGTAAGAAGTTACACGCATTTATAAGCCTACTTTAGAGGTTTGTATATATATTGAATGAATCAAAGGTTGGGACCTGATAATTAGGTTGTTAATTGATTGACTAACAAACTGCGGTACCATTAGCTAGTACAACTGTACAACTATCAATAATATTAATCGTTGCAGTACGACTTTAAACAAATTGACAAATATAGGGTACTGCAATTACTGAATTTATGCAAATTGAAAGCCCAATAACCTTATTTGAATTGGTCAAACCAGCCCAATTTAGTTTGGACATTTGAGCTACGATTTATTACAAATTTTTACATACACCCCGGGTAGGGAACACTGCCTGCACCCCCACACCCTCCGCGCGTGTCCCGCCCTCCCCTTTTCATTTATGAATTTCCTGTAAATTTTTATAACATGTTCATTTTTGTATTGGTAAATGTTCATTTTTTTATAATTGGATGTTCATTTTTGTATTATTAGATGTTCATTTGTTAGCAAGGACTTTTTGTCTAATAAATACTTCGTATATTTTCTAAATTGTATTTTTAGAATTTTTTTATAAATAAAACTGAGAACAAATTTATTTATAGTATTACTGAACTTACATTTTTATTATAAGAAGTATTGCATCATCAAACATTTTTGTTTATGTATATTTCGACAGATGTTCACTATTGTATCATCAAATGTTCATTTTCAAGAGATATGTGTAACTGTGTAAGTAATATAATAAGATGTATGCAAGTACATACACATAAGAATTCTATTAATTTAAATAAAACATTGTTAAAAAATAATTCAATTATTATAAAAAAAATTTAATTTAATTACAATAATAACACATTTATATTCTATTTCATATAATTGTTTCATAAACATTAAAGTGATCAATTAAATCCTAAATGTACATACGTGTCTTGTTAAATGAACATTATTTATTGTTACATTTGGTACAAATAAAGTGTCTATGTAGATATATCCTCCTTATTGCACCTCTAATCATATGATATTTGTGTGTTTTTCATGAAAAAGATAATCCGATGAGCACTGTTTCGGGGTTTTTTGATGTCCTGCGAGAGAGTTACAATTCCGGGACTGAATCCGTGCGCCTGTACCTGCAAAACAACAGAGACTCCGGGTGGTGGGAGCTCCGCCTCCGACGATCAAGTTAGTACTTGTGTGTGGAGTAAAAGGTGCGAAAAGTAAAGAGGGTGATCTGGTTCCTCGGAAGGGAGGAGTGATCGGAGAGTGCAAATAATGCTAAGTCTGGTCTAGCGATTAGTATGCACGTGTGTTTAGGCTTCTCTTGGTGAGAGTAATTAATTTTGAATGTGTTTAATGAAGGCTAATTACTGTATTTATAGCCTCAAAGTACGCGCCCAATACTAGGTTAAATGGTAAACCTAGGACTGATTGGGCTTGCCTCGGGATTCGGGCCATGTTGGTCGTTTTCCAGGTTGGCAGATAGTGAGCCACGTGGCGTGGCGCAATTGGTCCATGCTGGACCTCCAGGAGTATGACACGTGGCAGTCCCTGATTGGTCCACGTGGCTGACACGTGGCAGGTGATGATTGGCCCACGTGGCGGGAAAAATCCCCTAAACAAGCACAATATATTTGTCGCCTTCAACTTCCTTACTTGACTATCAATAAGAGATCACGATTTTCAAAATACAAAATAAAAATAAGAACAACCATGAACACATTCCAAACAAAAGTATGTGAAATCTAAGGATTCAAAATTGAACATTTATGAATGAATAACAATTACGAATTCGAAAATAAACACACTATAAAGTAATATAATAATTCATTTTTTACGACGAATGAACATTAATATATGTGTGAATAAACGTATCCAAATGAATATTTATATATTAATATTAGAATAATCATCTATCACTATTAGAGTTAAAATGTATGTATATATTAATTTAATATGAAGTTGAACATGTATTACTCTCTCCGCCCACAATTATATGCATCAAACGTCCTTTTTGCGGACTCCTAGGCAAAATTTTTAGTGGAGTTTAATTAAGTTTGGGTGAGTTTAATTAAGTGGGAAAAAGGAGGGAAAGAAGTGGTCCCTTATTTTTTTGTTTTTGGGTGGGTTAAAGTGAGTGGGAAAAAGGTGAAAAATTAAGGGGTCCCTTTTATGAGTGGGAAAAAGGAAAGTGAGTGTAATTAAAAAATGTTAAACAAAGTTTAAAAATAAAAGTAAGGGTAAGGTGGTCTTTTTACTCTTTAAAATTTACTAAAAGAGGAAAGAAAAAAATTTGTTGCACATAATAGAGAGCGCCCATTTATGGCAAATGTTGCAAATAATTGTGGACGGAGGGAGTATTATAGTTTATGTGAATATTTTCAATATGAGAATGAACATATACATATTTAAATCTAAATGAACGTTTATTTAAATCCCATTATACATTCATTAATATATATCTGAATTTCATAAACACAACTAGGGTAGTTTTCTCTCAAGACTAGACCCTAGTTGATCTGATCTAAGGTAATAAGAATGTGAATGAGCATATACTAATATCATAATGAACATCTATCAAAATGAAAATAAACATTTATCCAAAAGTCATTTTCACCATAAACTAATTCAAATCTCAATAATTCTACAAAAGCTAAACTAATTGAGAAAATTAGCACAATTATACTCTATATTCAATTTTCACTGGCAAATAATTTCATAATTTCTTATAATTTTTACATATGAGCATTATATAAATATGTGAATATACATATATCCAAGCAAGGATGAACAACTTATGTATTAATATTTGAATAAGCAACTATCAATAAACAATTTACATGCATGAGTATCAATATCCAAATGAGACCCATGAGCATGAACGTGCATATAAATCTATCAATCTAAATGACTATTTTTCAATATGAGAATGTACATATATAACAATTCAAATGAAAACTTATCAAAATTCGAATGGTCATCAATTAATATGTGAATGAACATATATATAGATCATAATGATCATTTATCAATATGAGAATGGATGATATAAAAAAGAAATTTCCATTATTACTCATAACAATCGTAAGAACAAGAACAAATTGTACACAATTTTTAAATTTTAGGTCAATAACTAATAATATATAATCACGCCGTAACACAAAATTAGAGAATATCAAACAATAACATAGTTCAACGACAATTATAAGAATTACTTCACAAAAATGTATAAGAAGCTAAGTCACAAACTCTTACTCATAATCTTTAATATTAGAGAAAAAATTTGATGAAGATGACAATAATATGATCATATATCAGAAATTTAATGCTCTTATATTAATATGCGAATGAACATTTACTAATACGTTAATGAACATCTATCATAACGAAAGTGAACATTCTTCAACAATTATTTTTTTCCATACTAAACTAAATTTACATCTTAATAATTTGACAAAATAGATCAAACTATTCAGAAAATTAGGACAATACCACTATGTTCTCAATTATTTAGGTCTTATAATTATATAATATAATAACACACCATAAACTAATTCAATTCAACACAAGAGTACATCAAATATTGATATAGTTCAACCAATAAATTAATTTTTTTTCTATGATTTGACAATCAATTTGGGAAAAAAAATTACTGTAATCAAATAAATATTTAACAACTATCAAATCATTGAAATGAAAAAAAGAGAGAGAAATTAGTACCTCATCAAAGATTTGTGTCAACAATGAAGCTTCCATAAGAAGTGACATGAATAGATGATGATTAAGCTTCTATGATGGAAAATATGAAGGTTTTTAGAGAGAGAAAAGTAAGGATGAAAGTTTTTGGAAAGAGAAAATGGATATAAGAAATTTTTTGGAGAGAGAAAATAAAGGATGATGGTTTTTGGATAGAGAAATCATAAATTGAAGATTTTTAGAAAATAACAATGACGATATATATAATCTGTATTTTTTTTTGGGGAGACTTTAATTAGGAGGGAGGTAAATTGGTGGTTAGGGGGTGTAGGCATTAATAATTAACGTTTTAATGCTGCATTGGCCCACGTATAATATATGTATATTTAATTAAAAACGAGTACTTTTTAATTAATTTTGGTTTTAATTCAGAGCATTTTTTTTTTGGTGAATTAATCAAACGCTTGGAGTTTGGACCAAATTTTTTATTTTCTAACCATGATTATGACAAAGTTGCAGTACTTACCAATGTAATTACTTTTCATGTCCTTAATGAGTACTATGGGCCTAAGTTGAGCCAGCCCAATCAATGATAAAAACAACCTACTTAAATGATTGGGCTGGAAGGCCCAACTTCTAATTAGTTTGGATCTATAACAAAGAAAGTAGTGGTACTACTCCACGACCGTACACCTGGAGTTATTTGCTCATTAAGTTTTGTTCATTTAACAAGTGTGCCAATAATCGCCGTGTCATAACTCTCATAGCTTCAATCCTTTCTTGTGAAATTTCACTCCAGAAATGGCAGTATTTCAATGATAATCTACTCACAAGCGTCGAATATCCAGTAAGCTGTATTCTATTAGCAGTGGACTTGATGCAACAACTCTCTAAACCTGAACAACAGCTATTGAACTACTCTTCATTATTTCCCCTTGATTACAGATTTGATAGAGTAGAATTGAATTTGCTTTGGGAAGTTCAAGGTTTAGCTGATGAAGTACCATGGGATTCTTGGGGATCAAGAGAAACATTCAATAAGTGTTTTAAGAAACATTTTTGGTAGGATATGAGTATGGTTTGGTAGATGGTGCGAGAAAGGAAATTTTTGGACATGCTAAGCTCCATCATGGTTGCTTTTTTCTCGACGGAAATTGAAGACTCTTCTTTTTCTCCAAACCAAATCATCCGAGCTTATAAATATTCCAGAAGTCGGTGAAATTTTAGGAGACTAGAGGGCCTTGCAGGTCTTGGATCTGTCAATCGTAAACTGTACAAGTTGTCTTAAACACTTGAGGTTCCTCAGACTTGGTCTCTTTAAATCTATTCCTGAGTGCATTATAAACTTGCAGTTCTTGCAGACTTTGGACCTTCGGTACTCTAGCATCCGAGAATTACCAGCAAATTTTCATGAAATGCGTCGTTTGAGGTGCTGGGGAGAAACTCATTGATCTGCCGCCCAAGTTTGGGGAATTGACAAATCTGCAAACCTTAGATGTGTTTATAGTAGGGAAAAATAATGGTCTAGACTGTTAGAATATTCTGTGAATATTTTTTGTAATTAGAATTTTTACCTTCTATAATTAGTTTATTGTATCAAATCATTCCCTAATTTAGGAGTGATTATAGGCTGCTAATTTGGCAAGCATTAGTGTATAAATGTCCTTGTATGTAACACCACACTTTGTAACACCCCAATAATTCTCTCTTCAAAACCTGTTTTAACCTGTAATAACTTGTAGTAACCTGTAAATACTTTTAATAACCTGCGAGAGAATTACTGGTGTGCTACAGCCACGTGTTAAAACGTTAAGGCTAGTTTCAGAAGTCAGCAGCGGAAAACTAATTTAGTTTTAAAAGAAAATGTAAGTTTCAAAACTAATAATCAAAACCAAATTTAGACTTACAAGTTGGAACCATAACGGCTCTTATTCAAACCCAGTAAAATAGAAAGTAAATGGAATTAGAACCAAAATAAAATTCGATTTATGATATAAAATAAGCTAAGTGAATAACCAACGCTCCACTCAAATCCCATCACCCTGATGCAAATCAGTTTATGCAAATCAGTTTATGCAAAAACCTGTGGTTAATCTACTCCCCAATTTTACAAGTGTAAGAATTGGATCATTACAGGGTCATTGAAGGCGAAGGCCATGACCAAGAGAAACACACAAAAGCACGTCATCAGCAACGCTGAGTACATACAAGCTATGAAACACAGTAAAGAGCCTTAGCATGATACTAACAAGCATTCCATACACTCAATATAAACATTGACTCGAACACATGATTCAATTGTTACTTATTACAAGGTTTTTATTTAAGTAGCATTGACCACTTCATTAATTGATTGGATTAAGCAATAGACCGGGTTGTCCCCCTGTGCTCCATTCCGGAACAATAAATAAGAAAATCCTATGCCTCCTTTCGGAAGACATTAACAAACATCCAATGGCAGACGCGCGACTCCGTGGCCATAGCTAGTATGAGATCTCATCTAACTCATTATAATTTTAAAAGAATTTAGAACAAGAGACTCGTAGATCAGACGGCCTCTGAAAAGTGCACGGCTAATACCCCGTGAACCCCAACCCATGTTTGTCATTACTCTAGATGTGCACAAATCCAGAGTTTTATTGCTTCTCCTTCTTGCACTTTACGTGATTTACCAATTTAGATTAGGTGATGACTCGCATGCAATCAACACAACCAATCATACATCAATCATACTAATCATTCAAGTTTCCAATTCAATTCTTAATTTATTAGTGACAAACAACATTTATTATTGTATCCTTTAACTACATACCTCGGTGTATAAACACCTTAAGTGCATAAGCCACCTCAAATCCACAATCATGTCTTATAAGACTTTAACTCTTTCTTTACTCATTCCAATTCAATACAATTGAATAAGTAGTTAAAACAATTCATTCCATATATATATACTTGTAGCTTTGCTTCTAAGCTCTCTTTGCAAAATATTGCATGAATAATGCTCAATAAGAAACATCAATGCAATTTCTCATACATGAATTAAAGCAATCATCACATTTATCAACAATCAACTTATTACCAAACAATTTCAACCAATCCACAAGTCTCCTAACATGATTCTAGGTCTTTCCAAGTCCTTAAACATGCTTCTAAAGTCAAGGTTCTTCGTATACTTGTACGTACCTTGAGTACACAAATTGATTGGCCACTTTAAGGCTAGAAGTCACCCTCTACGAAATCCTCTCCTAGACAGAACAACAATAGCTCAATTAATACCCAAGCAACATATATTACAACAATACTAAACTATTTTAAAATCCTTTAAATCATTGAAATAATGTTCTTAAATTATTCCCAATAGCCAAAGTCAATAATTTAGTACTTGAACTATGAGTTTATATGCTTAAATCACAAAAATATGGCTTATAGCAAAAATTTCAGCAACTTTAAAGTGATGTAATAAATCTGAAAATTCGTTTTAAGCATGTAAAACAATCTCGCAAACATTTTCACTTGAAACAATTATCATATAGTACGTTAGTATGTTGAGAACTTGAAAACCCATCATAAAACCATGACTTAAAGCTATTTAAAGTTAAGATTAAAATCTGAAAATTTAATTTAATAATAAAGTGTATGAATACAACAATCTAAACTTGAAATATATTATTATAATTTAATTAGTTTCATAAAAACTCAATTAAACCTTCGATAAAAATAAAAAACTGCACAAAAACCATACTTAGAAGCTGAATTTGGCCACGAGAGGGTGGTGCTCACTACCATAGGTAGTGAGTTTTAATTAGAGCATCGTTTACACACGAAAAACACTATTGTTTTGCGAAAATCAGACGAGTTACAGTCAAAACGCGATTAAAACGTGATTAAGAAAGTTTTCGAACGGAAATTCAGAAATTAGTTACGAAAAATTAAGAACTTGCTGTTGAATTAAACATCATCATAATCATAGCAAAATCACAACAAAATCATGCTCAAATTAAACAACTTTAGCAACACGTTTTTAAGCCCTAAAACCATGAAAATCAACATTTAAAACCCCAATTAACGCATAAATAAAATCTGAAATTTAATCCCATACTTTTAATAAAGTATAATCCATAAAGTTACAATCTTTTATAACTCATAACATAATCAAACCATGATAATTATAAATCGTAAAGAAATTCGTATAAAAATAAAGCTTTAAAGTAATTTAAACAAGAAAAGAAAGGAAAATAGAAGAGAGGGGGAAGTAGAGGAAACCGGCGGCGGCAGTAGGGCTGAGGGCAGCGGCGAGGGTCGCCGGCGGCACTGCGGTGGTGGTGGGTTCCGGCTGAGGCAGCAGCAGCGCAACAAAGGAAGCAGCAATTTTTTTTTTTTTTGCTTGTGAGTCGTGAAAGGAGAATGAGGGAGGTAGTGAAGGAGTAATAAGGGGAAGCAGTAAATGCCATATATGAGGGTTTTGAGAAGGGGAAATAAGGAGCAAGTTTCCTTTAAAAAAAATGTGAATAGGGAAATATGGAGTCAATTACTTAATTAAAATGGAATTATGGGTTCTAAAAAGATTCTTGTTTTTATTTTCTGAAATCTTCCCAAAATTTTTTTGTATAAATATAAAATCATTGTATAAATATAAAATTATTAAAATAGTCGTATACATAAAAATATATATAATTATTATTTACTAAGAAAATACGGGGGATTACACTGTAAACCAGTCGATCAAATATACACACAATAAAGAAAAAACCCTTAAACCAAAAATCAATTCTTAATCGTTAATTTGGTATCAGAGCCAGGTTCGTTTTCCGGTGACCGGAAGAACTTCGACATCATCATCTACCATGTCAACCAAAAATCAGTCTATTGTCTCGAAACCGGTTACAATGGAGGAAGTACTGCAACTGTTTTCACAGTTAAACACCAATAAACCAGCCATTGAAGCCACAAATTAATCCTTTCAAATCTCCGAAAAATTAAACCATGGAAATTACACGAAGTGGTCTAAACTAATGCATCTGGGGATCGGATGGCAACGTAGGCTCAGCCACATCACTGCCTCCCCACCGTCTCCGGAGGACCCAGAATACACTAAGTGGACACAACGTGACTCCATTGTTATCTCCTGGATCATTGAAAATATTGATTCAGACTTACAAAACCAATTCCTAGACTACCCAACTGCCAGGGAGTTATGGAAAGCAATCGAAACTATGTATGGCAGCGGAAGGGATGGACTACAGATCTTCGATCTTACAACCAAGGCAAACAAAATTTAGCAAGGCACATACCAAATTGAGGCGTATTACAGCAAGCTTACCTCGATTTGGAAGGAAATAGACCGAAGGCAGCCCAATCCGATGGTATGCCCAGAAGCTAAAACAGTGTTATAACAAATTAATTCAACAAAACAGACTATACCAGTTTTTGGCAGGTTTGAATGAAACCCTGTACAAAGATCGAAGGGATCTCCTTCACATGGATCCGTTACCCACAGTTGAAGAGGCATATGCAAGTATCCGGCGGGAGATATCACGCCGAGGAATCATGAAAACCGAGAATCCATCATCAAGTGACTCATCGGGAATTGGCAGCGGTCTTGCGACCAAGGGAAGAATGGAGAAACCCCGATTCCGGCGGGACGATGATAAAGCACATCTCCGGTGTACTCACTGTGGAGGCACGAGGATACCCAGACTGGTGGACAGAAAAAAAGAAGAAAGGGGGAGAAAGTCAGCAGCTCTGACCAAGCAAGGCGACGTATAGTGCAGGAGACACCACATAAAATGGTGACAAAGAAGGTGGTGCCATGATGGCCACCGCTTCACCTTAGAAAATGGAAATAGGTTTGGATATTTCTAGAATGAATGAAGGAGGTATGAAAAGTAACCTTTCCAATTCCTCTTTTAATACCGTGCATTTGAATAATTGTGAAACAAAAGTCCAAACCATACCTCATAATATTTGTGAGACAAAGCCCACTTATAATAAGCCCACAACAAATCTCTCTTTTTCTTATAACAATAAAAGTCAGTCCATTGGTCTTATGGGTATTTCTCATAAAGATAAGAAGTGGGTATTGGATTGTGGGGCTACAGATACCATGTCTTTTGATAAATATGATTTTAGAACCTTGAACAAACCCACAAAAACTCACATTCAAACAGCTAATGGTGAAAAAATTGAAACAAAAGGCTCTGGCACTATTGATATCACTGACAATATTAAACTCCCAAATTGCCTATTTATTCCTCAGTTGTCTCACAAATTGCTTTCTGTTAGCCAATTGACCAAAGATCTAAACTGTACCATTCTAATGGATTCTACTGGGTGTATTGTGCAGGATTCTCAAACAGGGAAGATCATTGGGCATGGTACCGAAGAAGATGGATTGTATTATGTCGATCGAATGTCTCAACAGGGTAGCCCAACGCTTGTTCGTGGATCGGTTGAACATCAACTATGGATGTGGCATCAGCGATTAGGTCATCCGTCTTTAGGGTACTTAAAGAAACTTTTCCCTTCCCTTGCTAGTTCAAATATTTCTTTTGATTGTGAGTCATGTATTATGGCCAAAAGTCATAAACATGTTTATCCTAGAAGTAGTAGTAAAACTGAAACTCCCTTTATATTGATCCATTTTGACGTTTGGGGACCAGCCCCAGAATTTAATAATCATGGTTTCTTATATTATGTCACTTTATTGATGATTGCACTAGGATGAGTTGGGTACATTTTCTGAAAAATAAGTCTGATGTGCATGATGTATTTGTGTCCTTTTATAATATGGCCTAAACACAATTCCAAACACAAATACGCATCCTTAGATCCGATAATGGGGGAGAATACAGAAATCTGGACTTAGACTCTTTCATAAACACCCATGGTCTCATACATCAAACTACCTGTCCTGATACTCCACAACAAAATGGAGTAGCTGAAAGAAAGAACTGAACCCTCTTGGAAATGACTCGAGCCATGATGTTTGACTCATGTGTTCCTGCTCATTTTTGGCCCGAAGCAATTGCTACAGCGAATTACCTAACCAATCGCCTTCCCACAAAAAGCCTAAACTTTGCCACTCCACTTGATACTCTCAAAAACCATACAAATGTGCCCATTTCCCATTCTCTGCCTCCCCGGATCTTTGGACGTGTTATCTATGTTCATTTGCCCAAACGCAGTAGGAATAAGTTAGAACCTCGAGCAGTTAAATGTGTGTTTGTGGGATATAGGGTGAACCAAAAGGGATACCGATGTTTTGATCCAATCACAAACCGGTTTTATGTAACCATGGATTGTGACTTTGTTGAAACTGAATACTATTACTCCCATCTTAGATTTCAGGGGGAGAGTTTGAGTGATGATCTAAGCTGGTTAGTTTACCCTGAGTTGACTAATCCTAATCCGAAAGAACAAGTAGGCAAAACCACAGAGACGACTCATAACATAATACAGTTCAACAACACTTTTGATACTATGCCTAGTGATCCTATCACCTTGTCTGAGAATCCTGAAAGAGAGGTATGTACTCCATCTGGTATTTCCTCTCATAACACTTCTGATATTTCTCCTGATCCTGATGATTCTCTTGAAAGAAGTGTGACATCAGGAAACTCCCCTGTCTCTCCTGAAATGCCAAATGAAGAACAATCTGGGAAGTATAATCTTCCTTACCGAAGCACTAGGGGTGTCCCACTTAAGAGATATGATCCTGATTTCAAAGCACAACGGTCAAAATATCCAGTTGACAGACCAAGTGAGGGAAACCTTACTCAGACAGCCAGGGCATACAATGCAGCCATCTATTCTGAATCTGTTCCTACCACAACTGAAGAAGCTCCTAAAAGTACGAGATTAACGCACTAGTCCGAAACAACACATGGGAAAAGTGCGTCCTGTTTCGGGGTTTTCTGATGTCCTGCGGGAGAGTTACAATTCCGAGACTGGAACCGGACGCCTGTACCTGCAAAACAAACGGATGCTCCGGATGATTGGAGATCCGCCTCCGACGGTCAAGTTAGTACTTGATTAAGGAGTAATTAATGCGGAAATTAAAGTGATTGGGTCTCTCTAGGTGAGAGTGTTTAATGTGTGTAATCTGCTTTTTTAGCGTGTCTCCTCCCTTAATGAGGATTAAGGGAGGTATTTATAACCTCGGGAAACGTGTCAATCTAGGTTTAGGTTAACCTTGGGCTGATTGGGCTTCCCTCGGGAGTTGGGCCTAGGTGACCGGTTATCCCAGGTGTCATGGGAAGGACACGTGTCGTGTCGTAATTGGTCCATGGTGGACGGATCATTGCTTGACACGTGGCAGGCTCCTATTGGCCCATGTGACGGACACATGGCGGAACCTGATTGGTCCACTTGTCAGATGGTGATTGGTGGGGAAAAATCCCCTAATCATTTGCCCCTCACAGGTGGCACGCGACTGGTCACGTGTTACCTGTGACAGGTATCGCCCTGTAACAGGCGACGACCTGCTACAGGTGTCACTCGGCGAGAGGCCGAGAGATTCTCCCGCCAAAATTTTGAATTCTGGAAGTGACCCTTTGCCTTCTCACTTCGCCTATATAAAGGAGTGTTGACTTCGGTCATTTTCACAGTTGAAAACTTTGTGAGAGAACATTCGGACCCCTGAACTTGCTCTGACATT